CTAAGCCTAAGCCTACTAAGCCTAACCCTACTAAGTCTAAGCCTACTAAGCCTAAGCCTACTAAGCCTAAGCCTACTAAGCCTAAGCCTACTAAGCCTAAGCCTACTAAACCTAAACCTACTAAGCCTAAGCTTACTAAGCCTAAGCCTAAGCCTACTAAGCCTAAGCCTATTAAGCTTAAGCCTACTAAGCCTAAGCCTACTAAACCTAAGACTACTACACATAAGCGTAATAAGCCTAAGCCTACTAAACTAAGCCTAACAACTCTTAAGACCCTAACCAGAGGTTTGTGAGCATGCAGACAACATGATCCAACTTCTTTCATGTTACCTAATGTTTTGTTATAAAAAGATAGCCTAAAAGAAATTGCAAGAAATGATGTTGCGCAACGTTTTCTTATGTAATATTAGGGGTTTACCTAATATTTGCCTTGATGTAAAACGACCCAACAAATTACTGCGAGTGTTGAGATTTTGCTCTATTTTCCCGCGAGTATCTGTTCCATTTTTATGTACAACATCATTTATTATCTGCCTTTGTTTATGAAACCTAAAGCTAAGTATAAAGTTAAGCCTAATTATAAGCCTAACCCTAAAACTAAGCCTGTGTGTCAGCCTAATCCTAAGGTATAATTGCAAAAGCTAAAATTTAAAAAAATTGACTGAAGGGCACCACCAGAAGTGGAGGTTAATAACCAAAATAAACGTTTGAAACATCATAAGAAACACCAGACCCCACGCATCCCATACCGTGAGCTCCAGACATCCCAGAAACCACGTAACACACCCGAGACAAGAATTACAAGCGTGACGCACAGTTTGAAATATCCTCGGGCCATCCCCGATTACCAAATTAATCTCTTCCCAAAACTAGTGTTTAATCTGCTTCACGACGATCATACGATAAACGACAACCTACTTCCCGTCGTTGTTATTTTTTATTTTCGCTATTTTTACGCTTTTGAGGATGATATCTACGCGCTCGACGCTGATTGGCTGCGGTGATCCAGCCTATCAGCAAAGGGTATGAAGTGGAAGAGAAGATAAGGTTTTAAAGACTTTGATTGTTTTAAAAACATAATGTTATTGTACTTTGATAAGTTAAAATGTGTTAAAAATTGTCTTATACCAATTGAATATAAGATCTACTAATAATACCTAGCACACTATAGATATCTTCAAGCTATATGTCACCATACAACGACAATTCAAAGCGCTAAAGCATCCTCAACACAATTGTAAGCATTACTAAACGCAATTGTTACTAAATGTTACAAAAGTAAACAGAAACACAACAAGACTTGATCTTTCTTACTACTTTTCCTACCACAATATGTAAACAAAACACATCAACAAAATATGTAGTAAAGTAAGAGGTGAGACATGTTACACTGCCTGGTAGCACTTTTAAGACGCATCATAATTATTTTTGCTCCTAACGGTTAGTTTTTAACAACTTTTTTATTTTAAAACAAGCTTTATGGTTTGTTGAAGTAGGTCAATATTATATTATACAGAAGCTTAGACAACTGCTACAGTAATTCGAACATACTACAGTAACCTTAACTTCCCCATGTTTAATATATAAATAAAAATATAACACTCATTCCACCGATCCCTAGCCTACAAAGAATCGTATTGTTATGAAAAAATCGAAAAAATTTAACAACCTTCCAACAAGCTCGACGACAATATAAACAAAGAAGAGACATTAGTGCATAAAAACATCGGGACCCTGGTACAGTTAAACCAATTTCGAAAAAAAAACTCATTGAAAAAACAGCTTCACCCGCGAAAAGCTCCGCCCAGCGCCGACATCAGTGACTAATCTGCACTTTTGGCGGCTTCACTGATATTCTTTTAAAAGTGTCTCAACGACTTTTATTTGTTTGTCTGACGTCTATATTATCTCTACATATTGAATGTTATTGGAACGTATATGATTGCTCTTACTTTGTTCTTTGTTATAGTGACGGGAAGTCTCGGCTCATAGTGGCTTTTGTGGATGTCCAGTAGCTTTTGGGATTTTCTAGTAGCTTTTGATAATGTCTAGTAACCTTAGAATGGCTAGATCTGTTAATTTCGGTAACTGATAGTTTGAAATTTTAAATCTTTTGTAAATCAAAAGTAACAAATAGTGTAAGTTATAGTAGTTGATCATTGTTTCCTCAAGGTTAATCCGTCTAAACTTAATATCAATTTATTCAGTTCAAGTTTAGAAACTGCGGACTTGCTTTGGAATGAACTTATCATACAGATACACCACTGCCTTTGGAAATTTAGATACTTGTCATATTCGTTTGAAACATTGAACTACCTTACTATTAACGACAGAATTGAGCTTACAAAAAGCCATGAGAACATATGCTCTCAGCTTGTGTTCAGGTCTTATGTATAAAAAACCTTAGCACTACAAACTTGTTCTTGATCTTGTCTTGTTGCAAAGGTTGAGCGTATGCTATGAGATCCGAAAGGTGGTGAACTATGTTTGACCAAAACAAAGATAGAAGAAACTCTAGTGGAAGTCCAAAGCAAAAAAAACATCAAAAATCAATCAACCTAAAGACCGTCTGCACCTTCAACCATTACCCAGAACTGCAAACACAAATAAACCATGCACTTAGTTCTGCCGTACTATTTCAAAACTCTTATTTTTCTTTCCGCTCCAATCTTTGTTAACTTCATCACCCCCGGTGGGTCGTCTACCCCTGTGACTGTTGCACTTAAATGCCAGCCCGTAACACATGCACTTTCGAGGTTATCAGGTTAAGCTCCGGCATTACAGCGAGACATAAAGTGCACTCACAATAAAAATATTTAGAACGTTGAGGAAAGTGCAAGCGGCGAAAAAACGACTGACAGTTAGTTTTAATGTTAATATAAACAGTAAAGTACACAATGTGTTGGGTATTGACATAAATGGTTTCGGGGTCAATTGAATTAACCTTCAGTGAATATTACAATCAAAGTAATGCAAAAAGCCTTATGATCTTCATTTGACATAAATGATTTCGGAGTTAACGTTCAGTGAATATCACAATCAAAGTAATGCAAAAGCCTTATGATCTTAACCTATGTTCTAGTCCACCCAAATGCTTTTGTAAATATTTTTATTTACGACGAATTTCGTAGACAAAACAACCAAAAAGTGCAATGAATATTTGATTACTTGTGTAGCGACTATATTTGGTTTTGGTGCACTTGGGTAAAATTAAACACAATAAGTTTTGCAGTTGTTTTGTCAACAAAGTTATTGTTGTTTGAATCAGAAATACACGGAATGCACTCTTGCAATACTATTATAAGAGATTCGTATGTGAGAAAAGTTGTGTAAAAATAGATTTTGATTAATTTTGAAGGTACTAATAGTGAAATTGCCTACTGTATTGTTGTGTTATTAAATATTGGTCTACAAATCATACCTAGGTCCAAGCAAGATTTGTAGAACAATTTGTAAAAAAATTGAGCAGAGGTTCCTTAATCTCGTTATTGGAAAATTGAACATAGGTTCCTTGTCCTTGTAATAGAAGAATTGAAAATAGTTTCCTAAATGTTAAGTAAAGATTCAGTACTCCCTGTCAACTTAGTGATGCGAGAAGCAGTGAAATATTCGGAAAGAAGACCAATGATAGCAAAAGTCAGACCTAAGGACAGCTCCTTTGGCCTTTCATCTAAACCTTGAACATCCTTGCACATCAACATATTACGTTACAATCTACGGCATCAAATTTTCAACTAATCTAACGTGTATCTCTCGAGTTGTAATTGTAGACGTTTGAAGAGTGTAAATCTCTATCGTTCCTACATACTAACAGCGTTTATGTAGCTTAACAATTTGTCGTAGAAAGGCTATGGTAGATCATACCGTTGACACTGGATTATTGTTTCATTACTATTACTTCACGTTTAATACTACTGCATACACGGTCTGATCCGCTAAGATACAAATTCTCAACAGCATGACATGTAGTACATAAGGTAGTGTAGTCCAGCATGCTAGTAACATTAAGCAAACAAAAGTTTTCTTTTGAATTACTGTAATTTTTTGACTTTAAAACACATAAATAACCTAGCTCAACTGTCTGTCGCATAAATTATGTACGTTTACTTTGTACTTTTCTCCATACTTTGCATCCTTAAAGTTGCTAACTATCTTGTCTCTCTCCGACCTCGATTAAAACCTTCCAGCCCATTTTACCCCCAAAGCTCACACTTTTTCCCCTTTTGATCAGCTGCCAATCAGACAAAAAACGCATCTGACCTAATCATTTCAATAGACGGTCTGCTCGGTTTCTGTTATCGATCAAGTCGGCTCTTTTCGTTTTTTTTTTGCAGTTTATAAAAACAGCCCTAAAGTGCAACTCCATTTGACAACAATGATACTTTACTATTATACTAAATAACAATCATCATAAGGTTTTGAGAGAAATAGTTTTGGAATTGATAGAAGCAGATGAAAAAGCTGGCAAAAAGTTTGTTGACAGTGTAAAACAATGCAAAAAAAACTGGGAAATACCTCAGAAATGGTAACGGCAGCTTAGCAAAGCCAGAAAGTGACTTTTTAAAAAGTGGAAGTTGAGTGGAAGATTTTCAGTGCAAAACACATTACAAATCTTCCACTAAACTTCCACCTCTAAAAAATGTCAAAAAGTCATTTTTAGGCCATTTTAAGACATTTTCATAATGGAAGTTAAGTGGAAGATTTTTAGTGTAAAATACATTACAAATCTACCACTCAACTTCCACTTTCTTAAAATCGCAAAACCTACCCCAAAACACTCGTTAACTACCATCCCGCCCCCAAACCATCAAAAACCAATAAACTTAAAAATCCCAAATCTCGAAGAATACATGAAACAACAATTTAAAACGATTACCACAACGTCAAACACAATAATAATATGCAAATCATGTTATCACGAAAGCCAACCCCGGCGCTAGACTGATTAGCTGTCTAAACAAGAGTGTTATCAGCTTGTAACTTGTTTTCCAACAAGTTTATTACTCATAAGCGAGCTGAATTGTTACATTTTTCGCATTTTTTGCATTTTTTAAAGTTTGCAAGAAAGGGGAAGTTGGGTGGAAGATTTGTAATGTATTTTACACTCAAAATCTTCCACTAAATTATCATTTTCAAAAATTGTCAAAAATGTGTTTTTAGGCTATTTTAAGACATTTTTGTAGTGGAATTTGTGTGGAAGATTTTTAGTGCAAAATACATTACAAATCTTTCACTCAACTTCCACTTTTTAAAAAGAGTCAAAACCTATGAAAATTAGTACAAATGTTTTTGATATGTCACAAGATAGTTAGTATAAGACAAAAAAAGCCATTAAGCGCATCTTTTAGATATTTTTTGCAATTTTAATTCTAAAAAATTTTGAAATTTAAAAAATAATTTTAAAATCCAAAACCCACCCTATGTATCTCCTGTGAGCTCATATTGCTGTTCGGTGCCGTCAATGCTCCCAATAATGCATTCAGTTGCCCCTGACTACCACTGATCCCGGGTTGTTGCTGAAGTTGCTGGAGTTGCTGCAACAACGCCGTGTTTAAGGCTTGTTCGAGTTGTTGAAGTCGCTGCGATTCCTCATTCTTCGACTCTTGGCTGGTTTGCGACGTGCTGGCATAGGCGGCGCTGCTGGACTCGGCCGTGAGCCGCGAACCCGGACGAGGCTTTTCGTCCGCGTCGAGGATCGTCGTCTTGGCACAGTCGCCTCCACCGGCCGCCGACGGGTTGGTCGCCACGGTGGAATACTGGAATAATATTATAATAAAAGTCTGACTTCTATGAAAAAATGCATAAATAAGCCTAAAAAAACAAAAATTTGACTTAAAATGACTAAAATAAAAGTGAAAACTCAGTGGAAGATTTTCAGTGCAAAATACACTAAAAATCTTCCACCAAACTTCCACTTCTAAAAAGCTTCAAAAAGTCATTTTTAGACCATTTTAAGACTTTTTTGAAGTGGAATTTATGTGGAAGATATTCAGTGCAAAATACATTACAAATCTTCCACTCAACTCCCACTTTAAAAAACTGTTATTTTGACCCTGCAAATACTATTTTTGATTACAAAAGCACCCATCGACAAACGTATTTTACAAAAAAACCAAAATTTTACAAAAAATTTTATCGACCGGTCGATAATTTGCAAATAGCAAATTTTTTAAAAATTAAAACCCTACGGCATTTTCACTTCAAAATCAGTGTTCCTACCTTCTCAGTCGGGTTGTCCGAATCGACCGGTTGATGGGATGATCGTTTTCGACTGTTCGGCGTCGTTTTGGGCCCCCAAAATGCAGCTGGCGACGTTGTGCAACTAATCTTGGAAGCCGGTTGTCACGAAGGAAATAAATAATCGTCGTATTTTACGGTCAAAAACTGGGTCGTTTTTAAAAAGTGAGTGTTATATGAAATTGGGACTGAAAAAATTTGAAATTTAAAAATTTTTTTAGGTAACAAAATTTTTAAAATTCAAAAAAACGCGCAAAAATTTTTTTTACATAGCTACACACCCTACCCTACCCTACCCTACCCTACCTTACCCTAACCTACCCTACCCAACTAAAAACGGTTTAACACAGTAAACAGTATAAGATAATCCGTCAGGTGTAGAAACATGAAAATCCCCATGAAGATACGAAAATGATTAACAACAGATACAAGGAATTGTCATTTACAGTAAAGACAAATAAAGTTAATCCTGAGGCGGCTAGTTCAAACGGTCTGAAACTTAAAGTCGTACAGTACTCACATAGCCATCCACGTGCTATAAAGTACGTAGACGGCTCTGTACTATATATACAGCACCCACATAGCTGTTTACATACTACAGAACAATTTAACACTTACGTACTGTATGTACAGTAGTCAAATAGTTATCTAAGTACTATACAGTGCCCAAACTACCATCTACGTACGGTATATGCAATACTCACAAGCCCTCGATTAAATACTATACAGTATAAAAATAGCCATTTACGTACTATACGGTACCCACACATCCATCTACCTACTGTATATACAATACTCACAAGCCCTCGATTAAATACTATACAGTATAAAAATAACCATCTACGTACTATACGGTACTCACACAGCCATCCAAGTACTATACGGTACACACGCAGTCATTTGCATACTATATATACCATACCCGCTTAGCCTTCTATACACAACACGATTCTAAACCTCTACGTACTATACATTACCCACATAGCCAGCTACGTACTATACAGTACTCAAACATCTACGTACTATATATACTGTACATCCACAACTACCTACGTCCTACGTACTATACTATTGCTGAAATCCGAGAAAAGCAATCAACTTCCCTGTAATAGTTTTATTTTTCTTAATTTCAAATTAAAATACCAAAAACAGTATTCAGAATATTCGGATTATCCCAAGTCAACCAATGTTTTCTTTTAATTACTTGGCCTAATCTTGGTCATATACGTGACTACGTAGACATATGTTTGTGTACTTTACTGTAAATAAGTGGTTTTGGTTTGGAATAGCAGGAAATTTCCTTTCAGAGCATAAAATGGCAAGAACTTTTTTTACAAGACAAAAAATGGCAAGAACTTTCTTTAAAAGCCACAAAAACGCATGTTTTAGAAAGTGGAAGCTGAGTGGAAGATTTGTAATGTATTTTGCATTAAAAATCTTCCACTCAAATTCCATTTTCAAAATGTCTTAAAATTGCTTAAAAAATGAATTTTTAACACTTTGTAAAAGTGGAAGTTAAGTGGAAAATATGTAGTGTATTTTGCACTGAAAATCTTCCACTCAACTTCAATTTTCAAAATGTCTTAAAATGGCCTAAAAACACGTTTTTAAAACTTTTTGCATGTGGAAGTTTGGTGGAAGATTTTCAATGCAAAATACATTACAAATCTTCCACTCAGTTTCCACTTTTTAAAAAGAACCATAAGTTGAAAGTTATCCCTAGAATATGATCAAAAAATGAGCTTGATGGTTCAAAATAGCAAAAACTTTCCTTCTACCTTCAAAAAACCCCAACCAGACCCTATTGACCGATCAAAAACCGCAAGGAATTTGTTTACAGATAACCCAAAATTCAGCGAAATTCGACAACAAATGTCGTATGTTTTTCCGTTAACTCGTAAAATATACAAAAACCTCTAAATACGAAACAAGTTTATCGACTCGAAAACAACGTCCGAAAGTGGCTATTCCCACTGTAAACAACAAATATCTGCTTACAGTAAACTTGTTTACCGTGCAAAACACAATAAACAACTGCTCGCTGTTTTTTGGGCTTAAAATTCGCGAAAAATTGATGAGTTTGGGGGTTAGAAAGAAAGTTTCTGACTGTTTTGGCGGCTGGAAAGAAAGTTTTGGGCAGTTTTTTGCAATGAAAAAAAGTTTTGACAAGTCTATATTTTATAAAAATGTCACTTCTAACCCTTATCTTGTCATATTAGGTTATTACCGCATGTTTTATAAAATGGAAGATAGGTGGAAGATTTGTAATGTACTTTGCACTAAAATCTTCCACTAAAGTTCCATTATTAAAATTTCTTAAAATGACCTAAAAATGACTTTTTGAGCGTTTTTAGAAGTGGAAGTTGAGTGGAAGATTTTCAGTGCAAAATACATTACAAATCTTCCACCAAACTTCCACTTCCAAAAAGTGTCAAAAAACATTTTTAAGTTATTTTAAGACATTTTGAAAATAGAAGTTTTGTGGAAGATTTTCAGTGCAAAATACATTACAAATCTTCCACTCAACTTCCACTTTCTAAGACGTGCAGTTTTTTGAGTTGTAAAGAAAGTTTTTGCCAATTTCAAAATTTCTTAAGATTTCAGTCATTTTAGTCACATGTACAAAAAGTTATGGCAGTTTTTCCAGACCTAGTCCCCCGAACTTCCTTACCATCCCAAATATTTCAAAAAAAGACAAATTTCAGCAAAAAATTTCAAAAAATCTCAATCCCATATGACCCAACTATCATAACCGTCATCCAGGGTAAACAAAAATACGAAAAGAAATATTTATTTTGGCTGTAAATAAATATATATATATACACAAAGAGCGCCTCGAGGAGTATGGTAAACAACAACAAAACTCGGGAATGTAAATTGTAAATAACAACAAATAAAAAATAAGCCAAAAATACACGTAAATAACAACCGAATCGTAATAGTTTTTGTTTTTCCTAGAATTGAATGGGTTGTCGCGGAATGCCAAAAATAATTCGTGGTGGGACCAAAAGTAAAATACGGCTACTTCGAAATAATTGTAAAAAACGCTTTTAATCAATTTTAGTCAATAAATACAAAATTTTTTAAATTGAAAAAAATTACAGGCCTAAAAATAATAGTTCGAAAGTTTTCGTGGTGGGACCAGAAAAGCGAAGTATGTAAAATACGGTTAATAAATTATAAACTAAATTATCTTTTAAAAAATACTTAAAAACCTACTCGAGTTATATAAAGCCTACATATCAAAAAAATTATATAGAGTAAGGCCAAAAATCAACTTTTCAAATTTTCGTGGTGGGACCCAAAAAAGAGTAAAATATTTAAAAAAATAAGTTTAAGTCCACACCTAATGGCTAATATATATTTAAAAGTAAGAAGATATTGCTTTAAAGTAACTTTTTTGAAAAAAAGATTTTCGTGGTAGGACCCAAAAAGGTATTTACAAAAATGTTATTTTTAGTACTTTATTATAAAAATCTTTTTAGAAAACGTAAAATACGTTTACAAATAATACTTTAAACAAAATCAAATGTACTACACAAAATTCTATTAGAAAATATAGTTGCAACACAATGTCAAAACCCGCAAAACCATAAAAAACCGTTAAATTATCAATAAGCTTGAACCCCAACAATAAGTAAGGCTTAAAATCCCAAAACTCGCAAAAAATTGTTACCAAAACACGGCCTAAACATGTCGTTATAAACAAAAACAACGTGTTTGTCAAAAAAGAAAAGAGGGGCGAGATGGTTGTTCGCCAATCACACGTCCAGTCTGTTCTTTGGGCTGAAAAGGACGGGAAATCAGGTGAGACAGGTGTTGCGCAACCATTGCGTCAGTTTGTTTATCAATTTTGCAATTTTATATCCCTTAGGTTTCGTGTCAACATTATTAAGGAAGTGCATGATGAGAATTAAAGCTCATGTGGTCGTTAAGAGTTCAGGCGTCTGTTGAGGTCCTTGTTACTGGGTCATAGGTTTGTGTAACAAATTTAATAAGCCCCCCATATATATCAACGTCTATCGTTAGTACTGAAGAAAATTTTTGCTGGCTTGGCTGTTTTTAAAAAAAAAATTTAGCTATGGGGGGAGAGGGTAGCGCCATCCCCAGAGATCATCCGATAGAAACCCACATGTAGGTGGTACCTGGAGTTAAAAAACTTTTAAAAAAATTTCGAAAAACATGCGCTTAGGTAGTTTTTTGAAGTTAAAAGCCAAAAAAAAATTTCATCCAAACTCCCCCACTGAAAAATAAACTGCAGCGAAGTCCCTGACTGTAAAATACAGCCAAATCTTTACCCCCTAACCCAGCGCACCCAAAACCTAAAAAATCACAGCCATACGCACCCAAAACCTCACGAATTTCCCCACCGCCCGCGATCATAACCCAGTCAAAACACGGCGTATTTTTAGGCCGCCCCTCAGACGTTTTGTTGTGGAGAAAGAAAGTGTTTCAAAATAAAGCGCTCGCCCATCAAAACAACAAAAAACACGAACGTTTATAAAAAAACCACCCGGCCGACTCCTCGCGGGGTGTTCGCCGACCGCATGGAGCGTTGCACTTTGCGGAGAGTGGACATAGAAAGATGCGAATTTCCGGCCAGCCGGCTGAAAAACAACAAATTCGCCGCGGCTGAATTCGAAATTGTTTCGATTTTAGAGAGCCACAGGTCCTAAGGGCATCCTAGGAGGTGTGGAAGGTGCATTGGGGTATGTAGACTGTTTTGGAAGTCGGCGAGGTGCTTCGCTTATACCTTATTGTTAATACCTAGAGGTTTATGTCTTAACGTCAACAACTAGAAGTTGAAGTTATTGACGGTAAATTAGAAACTAACTAGAGGTTATTGAAGACAAGACAGCTACCAAGTCAAGAATATGAATACCGTTTTCTGTAGAATATGTCACAACACGCCTGAGACACATTGCAAAGCAAAATCAACGTGGGCGAAGAATGGACAAGAAGAGTTCTCAAACCAAAGAAGCTAGTTTTCATTAGACGCATATCGAACAAGCTCAATACATCTGCTAAAAACCGTTACTGAAGACTACATGATGCATCAAGTTATATTTACTGTGTTGATTCTGGATCTAGTGTATCTAAATTGAGTTCTTGAGTTTACAGATAGGTTTCAGAGAATTATTTAGTAAATTTGATAAATAATATTGTGATATATATTTTTCACTCTTGAAACTGCATGTTTTGCATGGGGAACTACATGTTTTTGTAAATATGCGTGGCACAACTTATTCTAATGTTGAGGTAATGAGTACGTTAAGTTTCCAAAAAATAAACAACTATTACCACAAAATGAGAAAAACTAAACTACATACTATACTTAAAAGTGACATCACAAAACGATATAAAAAGTTAAACCCATGATGACAAAGTAAGTGCGTAAACAACTTTCAATTAAACGAATATGGTTATTAGGTCATTGATGAGTCATCTGAAAGCAGGATTACATTACTATTTTAAATTAAAACAAACTGGCGATAGAGTTGATATTACACGCCGCGTAAGTCATGGGTATGAAAAGTTAACTATACGCGAAGGGACATCGCTGGAAAGGGGGGGAGGGGGGGGAAACATAAAAAAATTTTTTTGTTATGGACAAAAATGGGTGTACAGGTGCCTGTAAATCAAAAAAAAAAACCTTTTACACTTCCCACCGTTGAAGAACAATATGTAGCAACGTCCTGGTAAATGTTATACTGACAGGCTAACTGCACTAACGTTAACTGTATGACAAACACGTCTTAAAAAAAGGTTATTGCTACTTTGAAACCATTGCCAGCATTACTACTGCTAGTGCTGTGCTGCAGCACTAAACTTCAGAAAACTTCCTTCTCTACATACATCCCACTTGTTTGTACAATAACTTGAGTAAAATATAGTAACACACTTGTATTGATAGGCCGTTTCTTTTTATAAACATTTTGTTCGAAATTCGTACTGTTTTGACAACTACTCCTTTGCATTTCGAACTGCTCCATATTATTTATCACACCCATTTTCTGTTTTTCTCTATCGTTTCTTCAGTTTACAGTGTCTTTTTTGACCCCAAACGTTTCAAGCAGGATTCGTTTTTTATCGAAATTAGTAAACAACTTAATGTTAGCTCGGAAAAAACACCCGAAGCCCGGACGAATGTTGTTTATGCAAAGCCGGCGACGACGAAAGTGCATTTCTAAAAAAAGCTGTTTACTTTGGTCTGGGTTTCGGTTATTGTCGTGGTGATTTGGACATGTTTCCGTTGTGGTCATGGGGTTTATGGGAATGATATCACTGGTAATACTGTTACTGCTGCTATTATTACTACTGCTATTTCCGGGCTACTACTACTACTGCTACTACCACTACTAGTGTTGTGGTACTGCTACCACTGCTGTCACTACGGCTGCTGCTACTGCTACTACTGCTGCTGCTGTCACTACAGTTGCTGCTGCTACTAGTACTACTGCTACTACTACTACTACTACTACTAGTACTACTGGTGTCGTGCTACTGTCACTACAGCTGTCACTACAGTTGCTGCTGCTACTAGTACCACTGCTACTGCTACTACTACTACTCCTGCTGCTGATACTACTGCTGCTGCTACAACTGCTACTAGTGTTGTGCTACTAATATTACTAGTTCTGTGCTAATACTATTAGACCGTTTACTTAACTCTACGCCCCCTTTCTAAGCAAATTTCCGCTGTTATGGGGCGCAAAATTAAGCGAACGACCTAATACTACAGTCATTGCAGCCCACATGACCTGATAATCCAAACTCAAAAATAAATTTCAAAAAAGCGACAAGTTATACGCTGAATACGTGCACTTTCCCAAAAGCCATACATAAACAAAATTTCGTTTTCAATGATTGTTATCAGCAGTAACAAACAAACACTTTTACAGCGATATTCTTTGTAAATTTTTTGTTTGTTTCTTTTTTAGTAATACACGACGAAAAACGAGCTTTTAGCCCAAGATAAGAATACGGTAGGGTAACGTGAAAGTCAGATGGACAGTTCTTGAAAGCGAAGTTTGATAAAACGGTATAAACTATCGGTTCAATTAACGGTTGATAAGGTTTGTAAACAACTTGAAGGCAAGATTTTTGAAAGAACGTTACAATTTTTGATGGTAAAGACATGTTATACGATGGAATGTGTAATAGGAATGTTACTTTTGGTCATTTTATCATCTATAGTATCAACGTTTTGTATCATATCATCTAAAGTACCATCTTTTAGTTACTGTATCTCAATGGTAATAACTGCACTAATGTTGAAACCTCCTTACCACCTTTTAAGGTAAAACAAACACTTTTAACACCAATTAAACATTAAAAAACGTTTTCCCAAATCTACCTTAACATATGACGTCTGTCACAGCCGTTTTTTACAACCCAATTAAACTAACAAAGTGCGTAATACGAACCCGCAAACATGGTAAGTCAATAAACAATGTTTTCTGAACCCCCAAAACAATATTCTCGAAACAGCGCTCCAATTAGGCAAACTTTTTTTCATATATCACGTAGAGACAAAACAAAAGACAACGCATGTTGGTATGGCCTGTATAAACTTTGGGTTACATAAAAATTTCATTTATAAAAAAAAATTTAAAAAAAACACAAAAAAATTTTTTCAAAAAAGTTTAACTTGGGCTCCCTGTTGAAATCTTTCACCCCTGCCCTACACTTTGCCCTGCCTTTGCTTTGCCTTTGCTTTGCCTTTGCCTTGCCTTGCCTTGCCTTGCCTTGGTCTTGCTTTGCCTTGCCTTGCCTTGCCTTGCCTTGCCTTGCCTTGCCTTGCCTTGCCTTGCCTTGCCTTGCCTTGCCTTGCCTTGCCTTGCCTTGCCTTGCCTTGCCCTGCTCTTTACTTCTACTTTAACTTAACGTACCTTACCCTGCCTTACCACAAAACCAAAAAAAATTTTGGCCTTGGTCCCTCTGTTGACTTCTTTCACCTTATCCTACCCCCACTTTACTCCACCCTTCTCTACCCTTTTCTCAAAATTCTAAATAAAATACAGTACATTGTGCCAAAATGACACATTTAAAAGATTAAAAACATGAAGAACACCATTAAACCTAGTAATTTGCAAATTTGCAAATGTTGTTTTTCCATTTTGCATTGTACAACATAGTACATACGGTCAGAAAAGCCGTTTACAGCCTATTTTTGACCGCATTAGCAAGAGCATAGAACAAAATGGTACTGTAATGGCTTGGAAAAAATAAAAAAAAGTATTGCACTGTAATATTCTTGGATGCGTAAAGAAAGGTTTTGTATTTTTCAAGACTTTTGAGTTTTTTCAGGAATGGAATTTTGGTGGAAGATTTGTAATGTATTTTGCACTGAAAATCTTCCACTCAACTTCCATTATCAAACTTCATGCTAAAAATCATAATAATTTATCAAAATCGTTGCACAATGCAAGATTGTAAATCCCAACCAATTCTCCAGCCCCAATTCCCAAGACCTTTTGTAGGGTTTTAATAAACAGGATGAAAGGCCGTTCTTTTATGGAGAGAGAAAAGAAAAAACCAAATTTTGTTTTTTTTTTCTTTGCTCACAAACAAAATAAAATAAACATGTGACAGGGCGAGAGGAAAACCATGCACAAATCAATATTATACAAGGTGCAACTACACAAATGTCTAAAACTTCAAAACACTACCCTACGTTACCCTACCCTACCCTACCCTATACCCTACCCTACCCTACCCTATACCCTACCCTACCCTACCCTACCCTATACCCTACCCTACCCTACCCTACCTTACCCAATCCTACTGTAATCAAAACCATACTCCACCCTACCTTAATCAACTAATTTCTACCCTGCCTTACCTAAAAAATATACTTTAACCTGCTTTGCTCTGAAACACTATAGTTTACGCTGTCCTACCCCTAAAAGCCCTACTCGACCCTTCCCTACTCTTAACGCCCTACTATGCCCTGCCTTACTATAAAACGCCATATCCTACCCTACCTTACTCAAAAAAGCCATACTTTACTTTGCTCTACCTCTAAACACCATGCTCTACACTGTCTTCCCCTTAAAAGCTATACTATATTCTACCTTACCATCAAACATTATACCCTACCCTACTCTACCCTGACCTATCCTACTTCTCCTTTACCTTAATTTACGCTACCCTACCTTGTACTACCCTACCTTGTCCTACCCTACGCTACCCTCAATATCCTGCTAACAATTTTTAAATTCGAAAGTAAATTTCAAATAACATCCGACTTTAAACTTGTTAAGAAAGAAACGGCCTGTTTACTGTTTTCTTTCGTTTTTGTTTCCGAAAAGTGCAGATGGTTCGTTTTCGACCGCCGACGGTAAATAAAAACCAAAAAATACAAGTCCGACTAGCTCTTTTTAGGTTAAGTTGTGTTTTTACCAAAATTTTGCAATTCAAAAATTTTTGCTCAATTAAAACGGCCTTAAAACTCTTGTTTTGACGGTTTTTAAGAGTGGAAGCTGATTGGAAGATTTGTAATGTATTTTGCACTGAAAAACTTCCACTAAACTTCCACTTTTAAAATGTCTTAAAATGGCCTAAAACATATTTTTGACACTTTTTAAAAGTGGAATTTTGGTGGAAGATTTTCAGTGCAATTTACATTACAAATCTTCCACTCAACTTCCACTTTCTGAACAGCTTCAAATCAGTCAAAAATAGATTTCGACTAGAAGATATGGGTGTAGAACGTTGAGAACTTTCTTTACAACCCTGAAAAATGTCATTTTTATAGAAAATTTCAAAAAAATTTTGAAAAACCGATCAATACCCGAACTCAACCGCCCGAAGCGTCGAAAAAGTTGTGAAAAGCAGTGAAGAATGGTAAATTGGGGAAAAATAAAAAAATTGTTTATAAACAACAACAACACAACCAGAAAACAGCCCTCGAGAAGCCGTGACAATAGAGTGCACGCGTACTAAATAGGACGTGTCGTTCTGTGCTGGCCTTGAATTTGGGCTATTAATGTGATAATTGCACAAAAGGTCATGTTTTAGAATTGTCTATGCCTTTTGTAAACAAAGTTCTTGCAATATTAAAGTTTTTGAACGGTTTTAGAAAGAGAAAGTTGAGTGGAAGATTTGTAATGTGTTTTGCACTGAAAATCTTCCATCAAACTTCCATTTTTAAAATGTCGTAAAATAGCCTAAAAATGAGTATTTGGCACTTTTGGAAGTAAAAGTTCAGTGAAAGATTTTCTGTGCAAAATACATTACAAATCTTCCACCGAACTTTCACTCCCAAAAATGCTTAAAAACGTGTTTTTAGACAGTTTTAAGGTTTTTTAAAAATGAAAGTTGAGTGGAAGATTTCCAGTGAAAAATGCATTACAAATCTTCCACTCAACTTCCACTTTCCAAACTAGCCTTTATTGAAGAAATTGAACTAACGTAAAGTTAAAGAGGCAAAGTATTAACACGTGATACTGGGAAATCAACAACATACTCACGAAAATGATAAAACATCATGTGTAAAATAAATTTTCAAAATTTGTCATCATAGTCATCAGAAAAACAATTTGTTTATCCCCGGTCACGCAAATAACTAATACTTTACAACTTTTTTTTAAAAGCACATAAAGTAGCAGTAACGGTAAAACATGTCCCTACCCTACCATATCCTACGCTACACTAACCTATTCTCTGAAACACGGCACCCTACCCTGCTCTACCCTAAAAGATCCACCACACAAGAATAACCTGCCCAAAATGACCATTACAATACCGTGCTCTACCCTCTAAACATCATAGTTTACCCTGCCTTCTCCTAAGCATCACACACTACTCTGCCCTACCTATAAAAACCATACCCTACCCAAAATAACCCATACAATACCTTGCCCAACCAAGGCCAGGCGGGCACTTTTGGTATGGAAAAAAATCCACAGGGGGATTATGTTCAACTTTTTTTCCCATGAATTCACAGGGGGGGGACCACGTTCAACTTTTTTCAAAAAATTTTTTTTGGGTGAGAGAAAAATACTTTCTCTGTAATTTCCTGTAAAAAGTGGCGGGTTCTTTATGTCGGCACCTAATAATTGCTGAACATAAAGTATTAAAAAACCCCATATTGATTACATTGCCCAGCTCATCAGCTCCCTCTTTTCCTGTGATCATAAGTCAAAATCGAAGAAAAGCAAGAGAGAAAAAACCTCGCCCCTCCCTACTGTAGCACTCCCTAAACATTTTGTTTTATTTTTGTTTTGTTTTTTGTTTTGAAAAGGAGAGAGAGAAGGGGAGAGGGAACGGTTCGGTACCAGCCCGTGACTCTGCCAAAAGTAAATAAAACAACATTCGGGATTACCTACACATTGGTAATGTTCTTTTAATGGCATGGTATTTACATTCGTATTAGTAATTTTAAAATGGAAAAAGTGGTTTTAATGCGATAGAACGAAATTTTAAAACTGCCGTGAGTTATGACAAATCAATTATAAACCTGCCGTTAGCTATGACAAACACTTTTAAACTTGTCGTAAGCTATGACAAACTTCTTTTTATCCATATAAGCCTAAAAAAGCCAAAAATTAGAGTGGAAGTTTCGTGGAAGATTTGTAATGTAATTTGCACTAAAAATCTTCCACCAAACTTCCATTTTTAAAAAGTCTTAAAATGGTCTAAAAATGACGTTTTGAGCATTTTTGGAAATGGAAGTTCAGTGGAAGATTTTCAGTGCAAAATACATTACAAATCTTCCACTCTGCTTTAACCATTTAAACTTGACTTGTTTGGTTTTACAATTAAATTTTTGGTCTTTTTATGGTCTGTAAAGTTAATTTATGCAAATTTTTTAATTTTTCATACCAAAAAGTGCCACATCCTTTACACTTTTCATAAATTACAGTACTCTGCCACTTTTCATAAAAATTGTACGCACAAACCACATTGGGCGTGGTTATAAGTAAAAAAAATGTTTGTTTACAACTGCCAAGTAGTACGATCCCTAAGCAGGTGCTTTTAACAACATTGCAAATGTAATAAGGCGATTACTGCGCTGTAAACAAAGTGTTTGCAACATACCATAAATGAGATTTATGGTCTTTTTAGTAAAATGTTAATTGCTAAAATGTAAATTTACTGTGGTTTTGAAAGAAAATAGCAGTGATTTTCATTAGAAGCCAAGAAAGTGAAGAAAGGTGGAAGTTGAGTGGAAAATTTGTAATGTATTTTTGCACTAAAAATCTTCCACTCAACTTCCATTTTAAAAAGTGTCAAAAAGTCATTGTTAGGTCATTTTAAGACTTTTTGGGAGTGGAAGTTGAGTGAAAGATTTTTAGTGCAAAATACATTACAAATCTTCCACCAAACTTCCACTTGCAAAAACCCTTAAAAAGTCATTT